ATGTTTAAAAAAATTAAGAAACAGTAAAAATAATGGACACTAACGCCGCCGCCCTGCCATCTGGTTACCATTTTCCATTGATGGGAAGGGAGGGGGAGGGGGGCGCATCACAGGACCTGGCCTTGGGGCGGCAGGGAGAGTAAATCCGGCCCTGAATGCATGCCGCACAGCACTGTATGGATTGTGGGGGGAGCGTGGTGCAGGCCGCACAGAATTCACCATCATAAGGATCCTTATTTCCATACAAGTTACCGGAATAAAGATCCTTATCCTGGTGATAAATCTCTGTCATCTCATCCCTCCGGCTTCAATCCATCGGAGCAAGGACCAGAGATCACCGAGGCGGGGGAGGGATACGCTGACCCCTCCCCTGCAAGTAGTGACTCCTCCCCCCTTGGGGGTCCCTGTATGCTGCCATTGGTGTCCTACTCCTATCCAGTATGATGGATCGGCGGCCATGTTGGAAGTCTTCATGGCCCCCATAAATGTGCATTGCCCATAGCAACCAATCAGAGCTCAGCTTTCATCTACTGCAGGTTTGGGGACGAATACCGGCATCTGATTGGCCGCTGAGGTTTAATGGGCCTTTGTGTTTACAAATGAAGTGTCTGTCACCCATAGCAACCAGCTCAACCTAACCTACACTGGAAAGCTGTAACCTGATTGGTTGCCATGGACAACACAGACAACAAAAGCCGGTCTGCGTGTCTCAGATCTCGCCATGGCAGAGAAGGTGATCAGGTGCCGGCAGAAGCTTTCTGCTGCCATCAGAAGAGCTTTGGAGAACCGCCCGGGCCCCACAGACATCCAGTACAGCCGCCTATCCTTATTTCCATACAAGTTACCGGAATAAAGATCCTTATCCTGGTGATAAATCTCTGTCATCTCATCCCTCCGGCTTCAATCCATCGGAGCAAGGACCAGAGATCACCGAGGCGGGGGAGGGATACGCTGACCCCTCCCCTGCAAGTAGTGACTCCTCCCCCCTTGGGGGTCCCTGTATGCTGCCATTGGTGTCCTACTCCTATCCAGTATGATGGATCGGCGGCCATGTTGGAAGTCTTCATGGCCCCCATAAATGTGCATTGCCCATAGCAACCAATCAGAGCTCAGCTTTCATCTACTGCAGGTTTGGGGACGAATACCGGCATCTGATTGGCCGCTGAGGTTTAATGGGCCTTTGTGTTTACAAATGAAGTGTCTGTCACCCATAGCAACCAGCTCAACCTAACCTACACTGGAAAGCTGTAACCTGATTGGTTGCCATGGACAACACAGACAACAAAAGCCGGTCTGCGTGTCTCAGATCTCGCCATGGCAGAGAAGGTGATCAGGTGCCGGCAGAAGCTTTCTGCTGCCATCAGAAGAGCTTTGGAGAACCGCCCGGGCCCCACAGACATCCAGTACAGCCGCCTTAGGGGCCCCGCCATTGACACCAAGATGGCGGCACCACCCGGCCTGCATCCAGCGACCAATCAGAGAAGGAGTCTCCATGGTGGGAATACGACTTCCGATAAAGAGATCGTTCCCCCTCCCCCCGCCGTCCAGAGACCTCCAATGAGGAGCCAGCACGGGTATGACATCATCCAGCCGCACTGGTCACCTGACCGTGTGTAGACCAATGTGCTGCCAGAGAGGGAGAGACTGACCCGCCTGGTGTCACCGAGACAGGAAGTGATGGGAAATCTCCCCCCCTGGGGAGATAAGCAGGGATTGGCCCGGGCGGGTCACATGGACAGGACATGATGGGACTTGTAGTCCTCTGGGATGTTGTACATTTCTCTGGTCATCTCTGTCCTCTCTTCTCGTCCCCCAGAGACGGATCGGCGGAGCTCCCGGCAGATCTGACGACGTCTGACACCTCCAGGGATCTCAATGACATGATCGGTGAGTGGCCCTGTGTGAGAAGGCTCCGATGGAAGCTGCCATGGTATGGGGCCCCGATTGTGGAATGTTACTTCTGAAAATGATCATTTCCTGTCCTGGTGTCATGCCGATCCTTCGGCTTCATTGATGTGAGGCCCCGACCTATGTACTGGTCTGGGGGTCAGAGTCTCTGGGAAATGAAGCCGAAGGATCGGCATGACAACTGGAATCCTGCAACACAATGAAAGGCGGAGCCTGCCGTATCTCTG